GCGATGCCTTCGCTAGAGTCACTACTGTGTAGTTAAGGTCAAAGTGCCAACGAGTTATCTATGCATGTGAGGTTACGTCTCCTTTTTGTCTTTGCTCAGTTTCAYGCAGTCAGACCTGCTCAGTTTTAATGACTTTAACATGTCGAGCACAGTCATAAGGAGCGACGGTTCAAAACTTGAAGCGAGGTTCTGTGGAAAGGTTTCGAATAATAAATATCTTACATATTTTTAAAAAATAGGGTTTGGAGAAAGAGATTTTATTGGTGCCATTATGTAAACAAACAAGAGAAGTGATGATTGTGATAAACAGTCTATTATCTTCCACTTTAGCAATAAACAGCTATTCTGACAAATATATGGTTTAAAGTGTTGCCAAGATCTACAGTCATTAATTTTTACAAATAGCTAAAATATTTTTATATAGAAGTAAAAAAATAAAAATAAATATAAAGTTGGAGGTGTGTCAGGATGGCAGAGGAGCTCTTAGCTTCTTAATTTGGTCACAATTAAAATATGTTTCTCCAAACTGAAGCTGTTCAAAACGCTATCTACAACAGTTAAGATATTGACCGTTCATCACATTTCCACAAAACCCCGCATCAATGTTTCAGAATGAACAACGCACAGCTAACGCTTCCCCGCTGTTTCTGCTCATGAATGTGTCAGACTTTTATGTTTTTCTGCATTTCTTTTCTAAATGCAGAGGAAATAAAAGGAAAGCAGACTTTGTTCTGTCTCCCAACAGATTGTAGTTTATAACGTTTTCCTTCTTGAGTTCAGATCCGAACCTCTAAAATATTCTTTACAAATGCTGGCTGCTATTAAAGAGAGAGATTTATATTGTTCTGCTTTTATCTTCGATACGTTACACTTTCATGCACACACATTTAAAGGTTTTAGTGCCATTTGAAAATTGAAAGCCCTCTTTGTTACACCGAGCTCAGAAAAATTGTATTTTTACACCCTTCGTTTGACCCAGACAAATTTTAAAATATGTCTTAAAGTTTTTTTCATTCCATGTATTTTTTTTCCCCGTCATTATTTTACCTCAAAACAGGAACAAGTTTTAAGATGCTGTTCATGTGCTGGAGTTTTCCTAAAGCTATATAGAGTCAAATAAGTGTTTATTTTATATCTCTTGATTTTAAAGTTATAGATTTATGTTGATGCCACTTCAGTGCCTGTTCATGTTGTTTTCCTGTGCTGGCCCTTTTATTGTTTATTTTTTTATTTTTATTTTTATTTTTTTTGTAACATGATTGAATCTGTCTTTAAGGTTGTAGATGCATATTGTAACCACTGGTGGCCGCTGTTTCCTCATGTATGTCTCACTGTGTTTGTTGTGTGTGTGTGTACAAACTGCACACATGAAACAGACATGTCTGCTCCAGCATCAGCAGTGACCCTGTTGCAGAACCAGACCCAGAGTCCGGCTGCAGCATTTGCAGCTTCGCTCGCTGTTGTTTATTGTTTACTTGAAAGTGCTCCTATGCAGCAACAACCCCCACCCCTCTCCCTCCCTCCCCCCTTTCCTTTCTGCTCCAGATATAAAGCAACAAAAACAACAAGTCAAATATGAAGACTGTGACCTTTAGACTTTTGATGCTTTCCAACAATCCTGTGTATCTCAGTGCCTGATGGGAGAACGAAAAGCATGGCGGGTTAAAAAAAAAAAAACAGTGACCGGAAACACAGAGGGGGGCTGCAGAGAGGAGGGGGTCATCTGTGACAGGGTTATTTTTAAAACAGACTCATTGCAAAGCATGAAATTAAACATAAAACAATCATTTTTTAATTTTATTTACTGTTGTTTAACCAGGCAAATCCCATTGAKATCACAGATCTCTTTTTCAAGCACGGCCTGGGCCTGAAGGCAACCTAATGTACATATTTTTGTGTTCATCAATCATGAACTCTATCAAATGGTGCTGTTTAATAGAGTTTATTTGTTTTCCAGAAATACTGATATACTGCAAAGGCATTAACAGTGTAAACAAACAGATTGCGCCAAGATTGACCTACATTAGCCTGTAAACAAATAATGGTGTAAGACAGGTGGAAATATGGGTGAATCTACAAATCACATGAGATCACAGAGCTTGGCAGTCGAACAGCTTTTATGAAACATCTGCAACACCTGTTTTCAGTCATTTCGGCTGTTGTGGTTGCCGAACAAACGCTCGTGCCAGCTGGCACAATTTGACTTGCAGATTGTTACTTTAAAGCCCACGCTAGCCATCAATAAGACGAAAAAACTACGTATTTCTTAGGTTTAGATAATTTTATTGTATCAACTAAATTTCATGACTTTGCGATGAGGACCTTTAACCCTCGGCTCACAGGAAACGCCTCCCCTCTCCGGCTCCTCCTCCGACTGTGTGAAGGTGTGTCTTTACCTGCTCTGTTGCTTCTACCTGCACACAACAATCCCATCACCTCCAGCTGGTGGTTTAATAAAGAAAGTGAATGATTAACAAATAAGACAGGTGCTGCCTTTGTGTGTTTAATGTTTATCTGTGTCTTTATTKCTCAGATGTCCTGATTTTAATGAAACCTTTAAAAAAGTAATCAGCCCGTTCAGCATTACTATAGCCAACTAACTTTAGCCAACAATGTGACTACAACTCAGTTTATTCAGCTAACACTTGGTGTGGTAGTAACAGAGTACCAAACAACACGACATTATGTTTAAGGTCTGACAGGCTTTCACTAAGGAATGCTCAACCTTTAACTTCACTTGTCATTATGAGAGCAAACAGGAGTTGTGCTGAGTCAGCTGAAAAAAAAAAAAGCTGAGTTTATGAAATAAATCAGCACCACACCAACACGCAGAGTGATGCCCTTCAGAATAAACAGCAGATTTATAGTAAAATATAATTTTCCACGGCGTGTCCCTGAACGCTTCATGGTTGAAAACATTGGGACTGCCTCGTTTATATATATATACACCAATGCAGAAAATATTTATTGTAGCTTATAAAGGGGGAAAAAAGTTATTTTTTATTACAATGATTTCCCTCCAACAATCTTTATGTTTTAGTGCTGCTTAAACAAGTTGTGCATTTGAGGTCAAAGCTTTAAAAACAAACACACACAACAGATTATAAGAAACTAACTTTATTCTAGATTTGATGCCATGTTTCTTTAATGTACAGTATGGAGGACATTTTCTGGAAACAAAACAAAACATTATCCAGAAGAACAAACTTGTAGGAATAAAAACAACAAAATAATCACTACCGTTCAGAAAACAAAAGGTTCTGTAAACGAGTTCTGGTTCTGGATGYGACACCGATGGAAACAAACCGAATCGCCGGGCTTTAAAAAGTGAGTGACAGATATCTGTGGTAGTGCATAAAAATGTTATTTAAAAATAAGTAAAGTAAAAAAAGACAGAGGAAATATTTATTTATAGTTTTATAGTTATAGTTTTATAAACCTTTAAATAAAAAAATCTTAGAAAAATAAGAACCCCGCGGTGCTGAGAAACACATCAGTTACGATACTTTAAAAGTTAATCACAATAATCCTCTATTTCAGATTAGTTTTGCCGAGGTTTGCAGTTTTTCCATGTGTGTAATGTGCACCAACTAATTATAAAAACATCAGAAGTCATAAAAACCATGTCGAGGTAAGACTGATGTTATCAGAACCGTTGTGCCAGAACACATGTACACATGCAAATTATGCAAAACTGCGAGTGATTACAGTGGCCTCGTGTAGCATTTCCATTTTTTTAACAAAACAAAAAAMCCCAAAATAAAACACAGCAGTCGTGCATTTTTCTGTTAGAAAAAAAGGTCCCAAAAAAGAAAAGAATGAAAACGGTCATGAATGTTTTTAACTCCACTTCAACTCAAACCAAAAAGTTCTGCAAAAAAAAAAAAAAAAAGATGACAAGTTCCTTCCCTTTTGTGGCCTTAAACGTCCGGCCGATCCGATATTTACAAAAGTGACAYGGCATACTTCAGACAGATGTGAGAACACAGCAGATGTTTGAGGAGAGAATTTTAAAAAAAAGAAAAAGTTACCATGTTTGAAGTTCAGACACATCAACACTGGTGTCCATTGAACGGACTGAAAACTTGTTTTTCTGACCAGCTTCAACTCCGTGTGAAGCGCCGACCGTTTTCTGATAAAAACTTTAACATTTCAGAGGATTTACTCTCCGAGGACAAAAGCAGACAGTCTGCAAAGACAAAAGTCACGTCAGTGAAGGAAGAGCAACACGATACAAGACGGTAAAATTATGCAGATTTTTCCAGCGCAGTGCTGCTGCAGAAAAAACGCACAAAAAATGTCGTTAAAAATCTACACTTCGGTGCTGCAGAATATACAGAAAATGTTTCAATACTGCAATATCAGATTATTTGAAAACATGCAAACTTGTAAATCAGATGGACCYGCAGTCCTCTGAATGCCCACTGCGGCACAAGGAAAGTGGTGTGAACACTGCGATGACAAAACCTTTGGGTTTATTTATAATCATTGCAACATCAAACACTAGTTTTGCATGTTGTCCTAATATCGTGCAGCTCTGCTAAGCTTGATTTAAGTTTAAATGATATTTTGTTTTGAATCTTAACGGTGATTAAAAGTGTCTAAAGAAGCTTTTACTTGGTTTCTCCTTTTGTCAGAAACTTCAAATGTGCATTTTCTGAAAAAATTTAACGTAATGTGGGGGATGTGGTGACATCTAGTGGCTAAACAGCATATTGCAGCCAAGTTCATCTCATCCAAATTACAGCAGCTCCTTCGTACATTTGGTTCTTCAGTTGTGGGTTTGTTTTAAACATTTCAGGGTGTAACACAGTGGAGTGTGAAAACAAGAATCGACACTGTAGACTTGGTCACTTTGAGGTAACTAAACAAATCAAATTTCCACTCACATCGATAAAAATAAAGTTTCATGTTCTGTCAGTTTTGTTTACACAGAAATGGACCTGTTTTAAATGTCTGGTTTGTAAAAAATAATAAGATCAAAGCAAACACAAAGTGGAGTACCACAGTCAGAAGCTACATTATTATAAAATGATCACAGTGTTCAGAGAATACTGCGCACGCTTCCTCTGTTAAAAACAACCAAATCTGCAATACAAGAAGCTGGCTGTCCTCTGAACAGAGCTCACCTTTTCAAACCTTTAAGCTCTTATTGGACGCTTGGCAACAACAAAAATCATCACTTCACACATGTCCAAATCTGGTTCTCTGCTTCTTCTCACCACTAATACTCCAGTGCAAAGTTTCCTCTTAAAATCAGACCACGCTGAAACTAATACCACCTGAGGCATTAAAGTATGAAGATAAAAACCCACTTTACACATACTGAAAATCAAACACAGCTACCATACTCTGTCCTTTTTGTTTTTTTAGAAACAAAACTTTAGCTCAACAAAACCTTTCCTCCCCCCATCAGACCTCAAACAGAATACGCTATGAACTCATTCTGACAGCTTGTGCTTCGGCGTTCCTCCTCATCAGCGACTGTCGCTCAGGACGCCACGGTCAGAGCGAGGTCACTTTGGCAGATAAACATACGCTCTGACATACGAGCAGAAAAGAAACAAAAACAGATGAAAAGATGCAAGTTGCTCCCAAGTAGCAGAAGACCTGTTCTGAACTCGCAAAYGTTTTGTTTTTTAAATGGTGCATTTTTTGTCAGCTTGTTTTTTGTTGTTGTTAAAGTTACAGTAAATGACCATATCTGGCGGTTTCGAGCGTAAACACGACTAAAACTATTTCAGCTCTTAAAAGTCGGATTAAAAAAAATCAGGGAAAGTTCGTGTGGGATATTTACGAGGAGCGAGCATGCGTGTAGTCTTCTGATCTCCTCTCCTGCTGGTCCGTCTCAAATCTCCAGAGTGTGTGTGTCTGTGTTCACACAGTATTTCTTATATACACAGTAAATATTTGTACACACACACATTCTGGAGATTTCTTTTTCCTGCTTCAAACTGGAGAGAGATCGCGCTCCGACTCTACTGGGGAACAAGAAGTAGGCTCAGCTCTTTGGGCTCAGTTTATTCCTCCTCCTCTTCTTCATCGTCATCCTCGTCGTGGCAGTGAGTGATCTCCTGGGGGGCCTGGGGGAACATGTTGGGGGGCTTGATCTCGCTGAAGGAGCGGGTCAGCTGGTTGCGCTTGCACTCCAGGTCCTTGCAGTCGCTGCAGTGGGTGCGGTTCCGTGTGGCCAGCGGGGACTCCAGGTCTTTGTCCACATGTGTGTGTTCAACTGTCGACTCGTGGGGCATCTGAGCACGAAACAAAGAAAACATTTTAAATAAGATTCCAAGGACATTTATGACTCGTGTGCGATTATTTAACATCGTATCATACATTACTGAAAGATTCCATGCTTGTGGATTTAAAAGTTAGTGCATAAAGTACTTGAAAAAGACAAAAAACAAAAACTAAACTGGCTGTGAGAGTTGTGCACGCTTCCTTTACGAGCTCTTTTCTGGAAGCTGATTGGCTCGTGCCTCCAAATTTGCACCAATCACGGAGCATCAAGCAAATACAAACTTCCTGCTTCAGCACTGGACTGATCCGGGAYTAGTTGTAACATTAGACTTTATTTGATAAACATTCATTTTAACTGTAAAATAAAGACTGCAAAAATGCTGTAGGCTGTTGAGTTTTAAAAATTTATTTTAACTCGGACGGAGCCATTTTATTTACACACAAAGCATTCTGGGTAAAGGATGACGTGGATAGGTCCTCGGTGCGAGGCTGCTAGTGAGCTATATCCACCCTGAAGGTTAATCTTGGACAATATCTGATGATCGACTCTTTTAAATGAAACCAGAGAGCGTTGACAGAGAGGAGAAGGTAGAAATGACTCAGCCTGGAACTGAAAATATGGATGGAGGACAACAGAACTGCTTCATGGAAGAAGAACCTCAGCTTAGCCTGTTAGCCTTTGCGCTAGCGTCGATGCTATATTGCCTTATACAGTATGTATTAGTTCAGCACTGGCATGACAAACAATCTAAACTGAGGTCCTCCATCCATATTTTCGGTTGCAGCTGAGTCATTTTTGTGTTCCCCTCTCTGTCATGTGGATGGAGGACCTCAGTGATGAGAGGAGAATGTGTAGCACTGAGCTAATACATATACTGTATATGGTGACAGTGTCGGGCTAACGCTAAAGCTAACAGGCTAAGCTGAGGTTCTTCTTCCATGAAGCAGCTCTGTTGTCCTCCATCCATATTTTCAGTTCCAGGCTGAGTCATTTCTACCTTCTCCTCTCTGTCAACGCTCTCTGGTTTTATTTAAAAGAGTCGATCATCAGATATTGTCCAAGATTAACCTTCAGGGTGGATATAGCTCGCTCACACCAATGACCTATCCACRTCATCATTTACCCAGAATGCTTTGCGTGTAAATAAAATGGCTCTGTCCATGTAATATATTAAAAAAACTAAACAGCCTACAGTATTTTTACAGTATTTATTTTACAGTTAAAATACATGTTTATTAAATAAAGTCTAATGTTACAACTAAACCTACATCCCTTTAATGTTGCGTGATCTGATCGAACTCCCAGGTGTTTTGGCGTGCAGGTACTCACCAGGACGTGCGCGGCTCTGAACAGGTAGCTGAAGGGGTAATACAGCAGGTTGATGAAGGAGGCGGCGTACAGGTCGGCGTAACGCATCACCTGCGAGGCGAACAGAGTCTGCCTGGAGCCGCTGCGGAACAGACTACCCATCATGCCGTAGCACATGTCCATGTCGTGAGTGACTTTCTGAGGGGGACGACAGAGACAGAGACATTTAATCTGCACGCTCCAACCAACAACACAGCTTCATTAGAAAGAGGTCTTTTTTTTTTTTTTACACATTTATCAAGAAAAATACTCAAATTTAATCCCATAATTTCCCAGACTGTGTAGGAACCCTGCGTGTTTTCTCAGAGTCTTGTTGTCAATGATTAAACACAGTAAAGCTCTATCAAACACACTGTATAGAACATGTCAGAGGTTGTACCTTGACTCTTCTCTGAATAGTGCTGATGTCAGGCCTCTCGTTGCTGCTGCTGTCCAGATGTCTGAGAAGAAAAGGATGGGGGGGTTGTGAGGGATACTGATATCAGTTTGCTGAAACGTAGCATGTCAAAGGCGTGTCGCAACAGCGAGCTGTGCCAGGCTATAAATACTGTCAGTGAGGCTGGTTATCAGGTGGTCCGGGTGTCCCAGCCCTCAGACTTTGACCTATTGACCCTGTTGTTCTCTCGCAAACTCTGAGCCCCGCATGCTCTCAAGCTTTTCAGACTGCAGGAAGCAAAGTGCAGCAGAGTGGGTGCAGGAGACGCAGCTCTCAGCTCTTACTTGTAAAGCTCTGCCAAGAAAATGTCCAAGCCTTGTAGCTCCTCAAATAATGCTGGAAAACACACAACAGGAAGAAATGAGTCCAACTTTCTGTGGCCACAGGATATTATTCAACAACTGTGATGATGATGATAATAATAATAATAAAAATAATAATAATGATAATAATAATAATAATAACAGAATCTGTAACATATAAAAGACATCTCTGCAGCAGAACGTTTCTCTGAACGTTCGTCTCACACTCACAGCTCTTGTCGGTCCAGACGTGCAGCTCCTGGGCCAGCTCAGGTATGACCAGGAACGTTCTCCAACCCTGGCGTTTCTTGGACTTGAGGATGTCTCCAAAGATGTGATCCCCGATGTACAAAATGTCCTTCCCTTTAGCTCCCAGCAGGTCGCACACAATATCTGAAGAACCTTCGGAGGGAATAGCATTTATTTAAATTAGGCTTTTTTTTTGTTCTAAAAGCTGCGTTCAGAACTGAAAATCTCACCTCCAGAGTACACTATTCCATGCTGCAGTGGTCCGGTGTAGGTCCCTATTTTTAGACGTCCTGTGGTCTGGAATGAAGAGAACGATGCGTTTGTTGAGGAGTTGAAGGTTAGCTCATGGACGTTTCTTAAACATAATGAGCTCTGTGTTGTTTTATTTCTAATATACTGGTTATTCTGTATTCAGGGCTTCTCATATATAAAGCCTTCTTTCAAGTCATTTTTCTATCTCAAAATAAAACAGTCTTTTTTAAGAGCAAACAGAAAAGCAAACAAGTTCTTAAAGCTCCTGAGTGCTTCTAACTCCTAAAAAACAAGGTGACAGACTGTGATCCTCAACAAGTGGTACAAACTGGATCCCCTCACCGTGTCCACCTGTCTGAGCACCGTCCCCTCCCCGAAGAACAGCGGCTTCCTGGCATCCACCAGGATCAGGTCAAAGTAAGACTGCCAGGGTCGGTGGGAGGTCCCAGGCTGTGGATGGAACAAGCAGATACACGTTCATGTACTTAAAAAAAGACACGTTTTTCCACTTTTTACCTGCTAAAGTGTTAAAACTGGATTTTACCTTTGGGCCATGGGGGAAGTCAAACAGGTAAGTCATGATTTTCTGTGAGAAAACATCCAAGTTTCAAGTCAAGTCAAGATCTCACTTTGTTTTAACGTAATGAAGCTGTTTCTTACTCACGTCGGTGTATTTGTAGTCACTGTTGGTTGCTAAGAAAACTTTAGCCACTTCATTCATCCGGCTGAGGAGGAGCGGCAGCTTCCCCTGACGGGAACAGAGGAGAGCTTTAAGCATCGTTTCAAACCAGACCCTCACAGAAACCCTGCTGAATCCTAAATACTTACATCTTTCACTACGTACTTCTCCAGGTTCTCCACCGTCTTCTCCTTCAGTGTCCCCTGGGACGTGAAACATGAGAAATCCATCAGTGAAATAACGATCCACAGACCTGACTGCTAACAGTTAACACTGCCTTTGTTTGAGTTCTTTTATTTTACAATCCAAAACAAAAACTTTATGGTTGCTTTTTTTTAAACTAAATGTTACAACTGAACTTAGAGAGCAGTGACTGCAGAGGAAGAGACCTCTGATTCCTCACTTTAATTTACTCAACTCATGGTTTCCTTTGAATCAATAAACAGTGAGCAAGTGTGCTTATGTTGGAGCAAAAGCTCTGCACAGCTGGTAAAAAACTGTTTATACTACAAAGTGCTCCACAAATGTGTGTTTGAAGGAAGAAATGATTTAACCTGAGCTGGCTTCTGAAATGAGCTGAGATTTCATGAAATGCAGAAATGATGAGGGGTTTTTGTTTTGTTCACTTGTTGGTCAGTAAACAAAAACTTCAGCCTGTGATTGAGGTAAACCCCCTCAAGTTGTTTAAAACTTTAACCTCATCCTTATTTTCACCTGCATGAAGTATTTGTTTCCAGAATTTGATGGCAGTAAAATAAAATAGATTCTCCCCGCAAGTTACTGATGTTCCTCTGTGCAACACACAGGCCCAAATCATAATCACTGTTATTATATAACAGTGATTATATAATATAATATAATAAACATATTATATGCAATATGTTTACATATAATATATATAATATAATACATATAATATAATATAATATAATATAATAAACATATTATATAATATGTTAGTTATATTATATGGTGGTGCAGTGTTTGACCTGTGAATTTACGTTTAGTCACAACAAATTACTTTTAGAGTGATAACTGTTACCCTCTAAAGCACGCGTGTCAAACTCAAGGCCCATGAGTCCGCATTTTCTTTTTACTTTATGTTATTTTACTTAATTTAATTTAAAACTAGATTTTAAAACAATTGTAAACTTTAAATTTATGATTCAGTGCATCAAACAAACACATTTAAAAGTCAAAAGATAATACTTGTCTGGCCCCTGAGCTGTTGGCTTTGAGTAACTGTGAGCAATTTAGCTGAATCGCCCTGTATTAATGTATCAAAATAAGCTGCTTTAAAGTCAGCATTAACAATAAACTACATCTCCCATAATGCATATCGATTATTTTGCCCGCAAAATGATGGCATCCTACCACCAGGTGGAGGTGCACAGGGTTTGGTGAAATTCACTTTGCAAAATCTACTTTTAGCTGCTTTTTCGCCGGCTACTTTTGCTACGGCCCAGTTGTACTGGGAAGTGGGAATTTCCCACTTACAAGTCATAAGTTTAAACTGGAACCAGTGGGAACGTCCAGAGTTCAGAATTCAAGGTGAGAGAGAGCTTACCACAACTCAATAGTGAGTAAAATCCTCGTACTTTTACTTTTACAAGTTTTTCTGTATTATTTATATCATATTTAGTCAGTCATACACGTAGTACTTTTCAGTGTGCAGTGCTGTATAAAGTACCACAAAGTGATACTTGAGTAAAAGTACAAGTATCTCACCAAAAATAACTTTGGTAAAAGTTAAAGTCTCTTTTAGGAATATTACTTGAGTAAAAGTCAAAGTATCTGGTATTTTTTGTACTTAAAGTATTAAAAGT